CCACTTGTGGCTTTTTCTGCTGAGGAATCGAACCAAGGACCTCATACATGCAAGGCAAGAACTCTACCACTGAGCCACCTTCCCAGCCCAAGGCCTCAAATTTTTTTGGGGGGTGGTGGTGGAGGGTCTGGTCGTGGGCATGAACTCAGCCTGGGCACTGTCCCTCAGGTCTTTAGCTCAAGGCTAGTGCGCTACCACTTGAGCCACAGGGCAACTTCCGGCGTTTTCTGCTTATGTGGTGCTGAGGAATCGAAACAAGGGCCTCATGCATACAAGGCAAGTGCTCTACCACTGAGCCACCTTCCCAGCCCAGACCTCAGATTTTTATCACAGTACTTTAGCTTAACTCTTTGTTCATCATGTTACAGACCATTATGGCTTTTATATGGGGAGTTTGGTCATGGTAAGCAATAGACAAACAAGTGGGAGAGTCTGCTCACACCATTTACACTTTAGGAATTGTGATCAGGTACTTAATTCTATTCCTGATGGCTCAAATGTCTAGTAGCTTGATACATAGGTGCTAACTCATTCTGTTTTATATATGTATGCATGTATGTATGTGTGTGTGTGTGTGTGTGTGTATACTGGTACAGGGACAGGGTGCTATCTCTTATTTTCTCTCCAAGCTGGCTTTTTTGCTCCAATTTTATCACTTGAACTATATCTCTACTTCCAGATTTTGCTCATTAATTGGAGATAGGAGTCTCCTTTCCTTGTTCCAGCTCTCTCTGAACTTCAATCCTCAGATTTTTGCCACTTGAGCAGCTAGGATTAGAGATGTGAGCCACTAGGATCTGGCTCAGATCAGAACTCTTTTCAGATTCTAACCTTGAGCTCCATGGCTTCTGTTCATCTCCCCGACCTCCTGAATTTGAGTCCTTGAAGTGCATTCTCCAGATAATTCGACCTAATAAGGAGGCCCCATGTGTTCTTATTGGACAGGGAAGTGGTAAGATACTATTGTATGGAAAGAATCTTCTGGGTTTAACTATGAAAACTGCACATCTAAATAATCCTTTGGTCTCTTACTGATTTTATTTATTATTATTATTGTTATTATTTTTGTTGGTCATGGGGCTTGAACTCTGGGCCTGCGGGCTGTCCCTCAGCTCTTCAGGTCAAGGCTAACACCCTACTACTTGAGCCACAGCGCCACTTCCAGCTTTTTCTGCTTATGTGGTGCTGAGGGATTGAACCCAGGGCCTCATGCATGTGAGGCAAGCACTCTACCACTGAGCCAACTTCCCAGTCCCCTGATTTTATTTTAACTACCTATTATCATCTCAGATGCCACTATATTATGTTTCCCTAGGCATAAAGCCAGTTTAACATTAGCTTGAGTTGGTTATTTCCACCCAACCAGTAGTAGAACTTGACTGTAAGACTCCATTCCCTTCGGTGTCTTAAGCCATGAGAATGAATGAGCAACACTCAGGGTGCTAATTGCCTGACATCTGAGCCAGAGAGAATCTGGGGAGGGAGGGGAAGTGATACCACTCTACACATAGATTTACAGTGCCTTCACAAAGCACAGCAAAGTTGGCTCCATTTTGGAGCTCTGAAGGAGAATCTGTTCCATGGCTCTCACCAAGCAATGAATCCTTGCTGGCAATCCTTTGTTTGTAGATAGATGCATCATTAAAATCTCTGCTTCTGTTACAACATGCATTCTCTTAGGTAGTGTGTATGTAAGTCCAAACTTCCTCTTCTTTTTTCTTTTTCTTTTTCTCTTTGGTCAGCTGTGGGACTTGAACTCAGTCGGGCCTGTGTGCTGTCCTTGAGCTCTTTTGCTCAAGGCTACTACCACTCTCCCACTTTGAGCCAGGATTTTGAACCATAATTCTCAGATCTCAGCTAGGATTACAGGCATGAGCCACCAGTGTCCCGCTCCTCTTCTTCATAAGGCCAGCAGTCACTGGATTGGGGATGATTCCAATTCAGTATGGTCACATTTAAACTCGATTGTGTCAGGAAGTCTTGACTTCCAAATATGGTTACATTTACAATACTGATGAGTGAGACTTCATTGCACCACTTTGGGGGACAGGATGCAACTGAAAACACTCCTCTTGCCCATCTCCTTCCTAGATGGTTGTGCTGGCCCTTGGCTGTCTTCCTGTTCTGCATCTCTCTTCTGTGATCCCTCTACAACACTTGAACAATCTTCATGTAATGTACAAAGAGTCATTATTTTCCTTCTAGAAAATATTCTTATGATATCTAAAGGCTGAACTACTGATTGACAGGCAAGCCCCTTCACAGACTGTCCTCATTTGAGAGCTGGACCCTTTGTCCCAATAGCATAATAGGTACCAGGGACCTGTTCCTCTTATACAGGATCTTAATTGAAGCTTGCCTGGCCTGCCAGGCACTGCTAATTAATTTCCTTTCCTACTGAGCTTGTGAATCATTCTGCTTCTAAGAAGATTGTTTCGGAAAGTTGATTAGATTTCTTGTGCAGTTATTCCTGCAGTTATCCTTGCCTGCTTCCTCAGATGTTGACTTTTTAGATTTCTATTTATTTCATAAACTCACTGAAGAAGGCAATAGAGACATTTTTTGGTCAGCCATGGGGCTTGACCTCAGGACCTGGGTTCTGTCCCTAAGCTCTTTTTGCTCAATGTTAGAGTTCTACCACTTTGAGACACAGCTACACTCTCAGTTTTCTGGTGGTTGGTTAGACTTTCTTGCCCAGTCTGGCTTTGAACCAGGATCCTCAGATCCCAGCCTCCTATGTAGATAGGATTACACATGTGAGTCACCAGCACCTGGCTAGAGACTTTTCATTAAATCCATCTACTGTGGCAGAATGACACATTGCTTATGAATTTACTTACTATACACATGTGTGGAGTAAGGATGAGTATATCTGTGGGCATAGACAGTGTTTTCATTGAGGATAAAGAACAATTGTTTTTTATGGATGTTGGTACTTGAACTTAAACTCAGGGCCTGTGCTTTTGCTTGGCTTTTTCAATCAAGGCTGTCACTCTTCTACTTGAGCCACACCTCCAGTTCTAGCCTTTTTTGTATTGGTTAATTGAAGATAAGAGTCTGTCAGCCTGGGCTGGCTTCAAACCTGGATCCTCTAATCTCTGCTTCCTGAGTAGCTAGAATTTCAGGTGTGAGCTACTGTTGCCCAACTGATATTTATAATTCTTATTATTTTATAATTTTTTTTTTGCCAGTCCTGGGCCTTGAATTCAGGGCCTGGGCTCTGTCCCTGACTCTCTCTACTTAAGGCTAGTGCTCAACCATTTGAACCACAGCATCACTTCTAGCTTTTTTCTGTTTCTGTGGTACTGAGGAATGGAACCCACAGCTTCATGCATGCTAGGCAAGCACTAAGCCACATTCCCAGCCTTATATTATACTTTATTAACTAAGTGCCTTGACGGGAATGCTGGTTCAGATGTTTTTATTATAACAGATGTTTTATGTTGTTGAGTAATTTCTGTTTGTTTGTTTGAACTCAGGGCATCAAACTTGCAGGCACATGAGCCATGCTTTCAGCCCTTTTTTGCACTAGTTGTTGTTATTATTGTTGCTGTTGTTGTTGTTGGCTTAGACGTTGTCTCTGAGCTTTTTAGCTCAAGGCAAGTGCTCTACCACTTGAGCCACAGCGCCACTTCTGGTTTTCTGGTGGTTAATTGGAGATAAGAGTCTCATAGACTTCCCTGACTGGGCTGGCTTTGAACCATGATCCTCAGATCTCAGCCTCCTGAGAAGTAGGATTACAGGTATGAGCCACCAGCACCTGGAAGGGGTCTTGTCTGCTGTCCAGGTGGTCACTTGGACTGTGATTTATGTATTTTAAGTTTCCTGTTTTATCTGGAATGCCAAGTATGTACACAGTGCTCAGCTTCTTCTATAGATAGAGACAGAGGCTCACCAAACTTTGCTGCCCAGGCTGTCCTGGAACCATAACCTTCTTCTTCATAGCCTTCCACGAAGCTGGGAAGTCAAGTGCACGCCACTGTGCCAGCTATGTGTTGAAAAGGGAATCTCACAAACTCTCTTTTATTGGTCAGAGCCTTCAAACCACAGTCCTCAGCCTCTTAAGTAGTTAGGCCTAGGCACATGATCCACTGGCTGGGTGATTTTTTTTTTGGGGGGGGGGAGTCTGGTCGTGGGGCCCGAACTCTGGGCCTGGGTGCTGTCCCTCAGCTCTTCAGCTCAAGGCTAGCACTCTACCACTTGAGCCACAGCGCCACTTCCGGCTTTTTTTTTCTTTCTGCTTATGTGGTGCTGAGGAATCGAACTCAGGGCCTCGTGCATACAAGGGAAGGGTTCTACCAATGAGCTACCTTCCCAGCCCGGTGATTTTATTTTTTAAGTTAGCCCTTTCAGTGACCCAAAGGGAAAGTTTCTGATGCAGCAGAACAATAACAGAAAATATAGGTTATGTGGGATATAACACTACAATTTTGGGAACCTTCAGGTAGTAAAAGGAAATGTAAAAGAGAAAATATGATTTACTTGAGAACGAGATAAAAATCCTATTTAGAGTAAATATAAACTGAAATGAAAAGGGAACGGAAGAAATGTGTAATAAGGCAAGTGGTTAAAAAAGAGTAAAAAACAAAAAATTCTTAGGAATTAAATGCTATTTAAAGATTTTTTTCCCCACCTAGATCACCACATGTAGCACATAGTGTTGATTGGATTGATAATTACATTTCCCTCAAATATTCAAACAAAGGTTTTTGTTTGTTTTTTTTTTCTTCCTTTTTGCCAGTCCTGGGGCTTGAACTCAAGGCCTGTGCACTGTCCGTGAGCTTCTTTTGCTCAAGGCTAGCACTGCCACTTAGCTACAGCTCCACTTCCAGCTTTTTCTGTTTATATGGTTACTGAGGAATTGAGCCCAGGACTTTATGCATGCTAGACAAGCACTCTTACCACTAAACTACATACCCAGGCAAAAATCAGTGTTTTAGATTCTAATCAGAGCTCCTTCGGTGGTGTTTTCTCTCTAACATTTCTCTCTCTCCAATCAGGTGAAAATGAAATCCTTGCAACTCTCCATGCTATTTCAAGCCAAAACCAGATCTGGAGATCGTATATCGGCATGGGCTATTATAACTGCTCAGTGCCACAAACCATTTTGCGGAACTTGCTGGAGAATTCAGGATGGTAATGTATTTGCTGATTAGAGAACAGAAATACCAGGATCCTTCACCATATGTCTCAGAACTTACACAGTGATACTCAGCCCCACTGATGTCACTATGCTCCAGGGACCTGGCTGGGAAAAAAAAACGTCCTTACTCAAGTGTTGAGGAAATTGAGCCTTCTTCCCACCGTAGCTATATAAAACCTAGAATTCTAAGTTGTTGGTGCTGATGATTACGTCCTCTCTATGGCTGAATCTCTATGCTGCCTTTCTGTGGGATGTCAAATCTGTAGGTAGAGAGACTTTCAGTTTTGGAGATCCTGAGGTTTCAGGCTATGTCTGAGTTTGGAGTTATTTTAGTGAGTCAGTGTAGGAGGGTGGGAGAGAGTGTCAATCCTTTGTCCTTTTCATTGACCTTAAGATGACAGATAACACATCCTCCCTTCCCTAATACTTCAGGGTTCACAACCCACTGAAAATGAAGAGACAAGCATGTAAAATAAATGGACATCATAATACATACCAGCTTTATTATAACACTTGGGGCTCTTAAAAAGATAAGGCCCTGAGCTGTGCATGCTCCATTGATCTTGTCTTCCAATCAGATAATTGAGCGAGTGTGCATATGCATGCGCATTGTTTCCTGTTGTCTGTGTCCTCTGTGCACACCAGGTCCACGCTAATTGCATATAACTGAATCATTTCTCCTATAATTAAGGAAAAACCCCAAGTCTACTACCATACTGGTTTGATTTTTCTGTTGCTGTGCTACATGTCATAAAGAATCAAATAGAGGTGCATACCCCACCATCAAACAGGAAAACACTGTGGCCATCCCTCCATAGGCTGGGGCTATGGCTCCAATGGTGACTGAAGGCAGATGTGTCCATTGGGAAAGAATGTTTTATGGAAGAATTTTCTTTCCCTCTTTTTTTGGATTAGTGCCATTTTTCATATACGAGAATATTTAAATCGAAACTTTTTTTTTTCTTTTTCTTTTTTTTTGGGTCCGGTCATGGGGCCTGAACTCTGGGCCTGGTGCTGTCCCTCAGCTCTTCAGCTCAAGGCTAGCGCTCTACCACTTGAGCCACAGTGCCACTTCCAGCTTTTTTCTTTTTGCTTATGTGGTGCTGAGGAATCGAACCCAGGGCCTCTGGCATGCAAGGCATGCGCTCCACCACTGAGCCACCTTCCCAGCCCAATCGAAACTATTTTAAATGATGTCTTAGTCTGCAAAAGAAGAGGTCTTATTTGGGAACACTAGAATGTACTTATTTCCAGTATAGCAATGAAAAAAGGGGAAAGGTAATGTCTTCAGTGGTTTGTAGTTGTTGTTTTAAAGACGGGAGCTGGTGGCCCACGCCTATAATCCTAGCTACTCAGGAGGCTGAGATCTGAGGATCAAGGCTCAAAGCCAGCCCTGGCTAGAAAGTCTGGGAGACTCTTATCTTCAATAAACCATCAGAAAACTGGAAGTGGTGCTGTCAAGTGGTGGAGTGCTAGCCTTGAGCTGAAGAGCTGAGGGACAGCGCCCAGGCCCAGAGTTTAAGCCCCTGGACCAACAACAACAACAAAAAAAAAATGAATAAAGTTAGTGTTTAAGGGTAACTTAAATTTCAAGCTAAGACTTTTTTTTTTTTTTTGCATAAGTAGTCTTTAATGGGCTCACACCAGGAATCTGTGGATCTTAAGAACATCTATGAACTTGTTAATTTTCTTAATTCTTTCTGCCTGCTTCCACAGTCTCATAAGGGGTTTCTTCTTCCAGTAGTGGGAACTTTTTTTTTTAATAAGGATAGAGTGAATGGTTGCTTCTGCAATTCATAAGTTGGTAGCAAAAATTCAGAGATTGTGTTTCAGTTTAACACACATAAAAAGCAACTTTTAGTTAATTGAACATCATGCAACTTATCAATAGGAACATTTTTTGAGGGGGGGTCGGTCGTGGGGCTTAAACTCTGGGCCTGGGTACTGTCCCTGAGCTTTTCAACTTAAGGCAAACACTCTACCAATTGAGCCACAGTGCCACTTCTGGTTTTCTGGTGGTTTATTAGAGATAAGGGTCTCACAGACTTTCCTGCCAAGGCTGGTTTTGAACCATGATCCTCAGAGCTCAGCCTCCTAAGTAGTTAGGATTATAGGCATAAGCCACCAGTGCCTGGCTAGTATTTATTTTTGTAATGGTACTGGGCATGAATTCAGGGTCTGAGCACTGTCCTTTAGCTTTTTCTCTCAAGGCTGGTGCTCTGCTATTAGAGCTACAACTCTACTTCAGCATTTTGGTGGCTGATTAGAGATAAGGTCTCATGGACTTTCTGGCCAGGCTGGCTTGGAACTGTGATCTTTAGATCCTGAGTGGCTAGGATTACAGGCATGAGTCACTGGTGCCCAATTTTTTGTTCTTAATTTTTGTTAATTTTTGTTGTTGTTGTTGTTGGTCGTGGGGCCTGAACTCTGGGCCTGGGCACTGTCCCTCAGCTCTTCAGCTGTAGACTAGTGCTCTACCACTTGAGCCTTAGCCCTACTTCCAGCTTTTTCTGCTTATGTGGGGCTGAGGAATTGAACTGAGGGTCTCATGCATGCAAGGCAAGCACTCTACCACTGAGCCACCTTCCCAGCCCCAAGTTTATGTTTTTATTATCTTTAAATCGTACAAAAGGATTTCAATTCAACATGTCAATTTATGAGTATAACACATCTAGTACATGTTCCAAATAAACAAACCTGGAGACTTTGATAAATAAACATTTTGACCTTTTGTCTTTTTCTGAAAGTGTACCTATGCTTCTGGATGAAAGAGCCCTGTCCTAGATGAAGTTATTCATGTCACATCTTTGTAGGAACAGATCTAGTAGTACCCCACATCTGCCTTATCATCCTAAGGGAGGATGACATAGGTGCTTTCAATTAAAGTTTTGTTTTGTTTTTGCCAGTCCTGGTGATTGAACTCAGGGCCTGGGCATTGATTTTCCCTTTCACTCAAAGCTAGCATTTGAGCCACTGTGCCACTTCCGGCTTGTCTGTTTATGTGGTACTGAGGAATTGAACCCTGGGCTTCATGCATGCTAGGCAAGCACTCTACCACTAAGCCACCTTCCCAGCCCTCAATAAAAGTTTTAATACGTTCAACTTTTTAATCAATAAGATACCAGGACAATAGAGCCATGAAAAAGGGAATTTTTCTTCTTTTGGAAATATATGAGTGAATACGCTTGCACTGTGGCGAGTTCCCTTTTTGTTTCAGTAGTGGTAAAAGTTTGAATGGGAAAGTCCAACATTGATTTCAAAAGCAAATGGACTGTCTCTCTTCTCCCTTAAAAAAGAAAATAATAAAAACAGCCTTTGATGTTCATGAATGGGCTGCAGCATTCCCGCTGTCTGAGTGCTGGCCTGGGGCCTTGGCTCTTGGTGGTCATAAAGAATGGTCTCCATATTGCTCTCTGGCTGTAAGTGCTTTGTTCAATTTGTGTTCATTTACTTTAGAAAGAGCCAGCATTTTGGGAGTGAGACTGTCTTCCTTTTTCAGTCTTTGTGGTTTTTTTGGGGTACATTTTGAATATTGTTTTGTTTCATTCTCTGAAATCTGATCTGAACCCAAGACAGAGAGAGAGAGAGGCTGTACTCTGCCACTGCTGATAGGGAGAGAAGGCTGAACACACGTGGGTGGTAGACCCCACATTATCAGCCTTCTGAATGGTTTCCATAGCAATGGAGCCAACAAATTCCGGTGACGTGACAGGAAAATAAATGGGCCACATAGCCTCGAAAGAATACAAACATTTGGGCTTAAAACAGGAAACTTATACCACGTCTAGAATTTGTGTCATGGGCTTTACTGTTCCAAGTTTTTAACTGCTGATAGCACCAGTAATTAATACCAGAACATATGCAATTTTGTTGTGGCTTTCTGTTTTGTATAATTTTGGCAATGAGATTAAAATAAGAGAATCTCATGAATGTTCTCTTGTAACCCTCCCCCAATTCTTTCCCAATTTCAAAAGTCGCAAACAAAAGGATATGATGATTAGTTTGGAAAAATGGTCACTACCATGTTGTATATATCAGCATCCTATTTGAGCAAAACTAAAAACTTGATTAGATATGCAGGTTCTCTCTCTTTCTCTCTCTCCCACACACACACAAACAAACATGGCTTTAAACATGATCTTTTGATCTCAGCCTCTTGATTAACTAAAATTATAAGTGTGAGTCACCAGTACCCAGTCCACAGTTTTCTTTATCTTTACTTTGTTTCTTTCTTTTCTTCCTTTCTTTCTCTGTCCATCCTTCCCTCCCTCCTTCCTTCTTTCTCTCTTTCTCTTTCCCTTCCTTCCCTCCCACCCTCCCCCTTCTTCTTCCCCTTCCCCTTTCTTTCTCCTTTCCCTTCCCTCCCCCCCCTTTCCTTTTTCCTTCCCTCCCTTTCCTTCTCCCTCCCTCCCACCGTCCTTCCCTCCTTTCCTTCCTTCCTCTAAGTGCTGGTTCTTCAGTTTGAACTCTGGGCCTAAGCACATCCCTGAGCTTCTTTTTTGCTCAAGGATAGCGCTCTAGTACTTGAGCCACAGCACCACTTTCTGCTTTTCTAGTGGTTAATTAAGAGCCTTACAGACTTACCTGCCTGGGCTCACTGGAACCATGATCCTCCGATGTCAGCCTCCTGAGTAGCTAGGGATGAAGGCATAAGCCACTGTCACCTAATTCACAGTTTTCTTTTTTGGTCGGTCATGGGGCTTGAACTCTGGGCCTGGGTGCTGTCCCTCAGCTATTCAGCTCAAAGATAGTGCTCTACCACTTGAGCCACAGCGCCACTTCCGGTTTTCTGGTAGTTAACTGGGGATAAGAATCTCACGGACTTTACTGTCCAGGCTGGCTTTGATTTGTGATCCTCACATCTCAGCCTCCTGAATCGCTTTCTTCATGACAATGATCTTACATAAATGAGGCAAACTTGTAAGCATAGTGACAAGCTCCCCTGGAATCAGCGTTGTCTTCAGGCCTGAGGATGACTCATCAATGTGAGACTCATAGATCATTGCTTAGGAACATTAATGTTTGTTTATTTTCATAGAGTTAAAAAAACAACAACAACAAAAGCTGGGCACCAGTGACTCACGCCTGTAATCCTAGCTACTCAGAAGGCTGAGATCTGAGAATCACCAGCCTGTGCAGCAAAGTCTGTGAACTTTTATCTCCAGTAAATCACTCAGAAAACGAGAAATGGCGCTGTGGTTCACATAGTAGAGTGTTTGCCTTGAGCTGTAGAGCTGAGGGACAGCACCCAGGCCCAGAGTTCAAACTCCACCTAACATACACACATAAAAGAAAACAACAAACCCAGTAGACTACAGGGGAAAAAATAAAAGGAGGGAATCATAGGCTTGTCATTTTGTAAAAGAACACTTTTAAAGCTCTTTACCTTCTTTTTTGGCTAGTTCTGAGGGTTAAAGTTTGGGCCTGGGCGCTGTGCCAGAGTTTTTGTGCTCAAGGCTAGTGCTCTACCACTTGAGCTACATGTCCTCTTCCAGCATTTTTTCTTTGGGTAGATTTTTTATTTGTTTTGCTTCCCATCCCCCACCCCACCCCTTCTTTTTGGTAGTTTTCCGTAGAGATGAGAGTCTCCCTGACTTTCCTGCCCTGGCTGGCTTCAAAGTGTAATCCTCAGATCTCAGCCCTTCTGAGTAGCTAGGGTTAGAGTCATGAGCCACTGGCATCTAGCTTTATCTTTTTTTGGGGTCTATCTGTCCGTTGTGGGGCTTGAATTCAGGGCCTGGGTACTGTCCTTAAATTTTTAAACTTAAGGGTAGCACTCTACCACTTTTGAGCCACAGGTCTACTTCCAGTTTTCTGGTGATTAATTGGAGATAAGAATCTCATGGACTTTCTTGCCCAGGCTGGCTTCAAACTATAATTTTCAGATCTCAGCCTCCTGAATAGTTGTATTATAGGCATGAGTCACCAGTGCCTGGCTGCTTTTTACCTTTAACAGTGATAATTAACAACCTGACCTTAGGGTTATAAAGGGTTTCATATAGGCAGGAAGATTGGACAAAAGAGGAAAATAATAAATTGAACAGCTGGGAAGTGGCGCTGTGGCTCAAGTGGTAGAGTGATAGCCTTGAGCTGAAGAGCTGAGGGATAGCGCCCAGGTCCAGAGTTCAGGCCCCACAGTCCACACACAAAATAAATAAATAAATTAAACAGCTGATATTGCAAGGATAGTAATCTCAGTTGTAAATTACTGTCTTCATTAAATTCAGGGCTCTTTCCTGTGGGATGGGGAACCAACAGAGATATTTGCGCAGGAGTCAGATATACACAAATGTATTTGCAACTACTAGGTTATTTGTGTTTTGGGTTTTTTTTGTTGGTCCTGGGGCTTGAACTCTGGGCCTGGGCACTGTTCCACAGCTCTTCAACTCAAGACTAGTGTTCTACCACTTGAACCACAGTGCCACTTCCATCTTTTTCTGTTTATGCTAAGGAATTGAACCCAGGGCCTCATGCATGCAAGGCAAGCACTCTACCACTGATCTACCTTCCCAGCCCCAAGGTTATTTGTATTTTAAGTACTGTGCCAAGACTGAAAAAAAGTGGATATAGATACAGATACCATCTGAATGTGTGTGTGTGTGTGTGTGTGTGTGTGTGCGTGTGTGTGCGTGTGTGTGTTGGTATTGGGGCTTAAACTCAAGGCCTCACACTTGCTTAGCTTTTTTTTTTTTTTTTTGTCGTAGGGCTTGAACTCTGGGCCTGGGTCCTGTCCCTCAGCTCTTCAGCTCAAGGTTAGAGCTCTACCACTTGAGCCACAGCACCACTTCTGGTTTTTCTGGTGGTTTATTGGAGATAAGAGTTTCATGGACTTTTCTGGGCAGGCCTTGAACCGTGATCCTCAGATCTCTTTCTGAGTAGCTAGGATTCCAGGTGTGAGCCACTGGTGCTCAGCTTTTGCTTAGCTTTTTGACTTGAATGGCACTCTACTACTAAGCCACACCTCCACCTTCAGCTTTTTGCTATTTAGTAGCTTTTTGCTATTTAGTTGGAAGTAATTCTCTCAGATTGCTTCAAACTATGATTCTCAGATATCATCCTTTGAATAGTTAGGGTTTACAGGTATGAGTCACTAGCAACCTGACCTGAGTTCTTTTGGAAGAAAGCTTCTCCTTGTTTGTTCTAGATCTAACTGTTAACCATTCCTATTTATCAGATAAGCTAGCTACTATGTGCCTGTACACATACCTCTGTGTGTGTCTGTCCATCTGTCTGCCTGTCTGCCTGTCTGTTACATATGAAATGATGGTTCTGAGCCAAATGAAAGCTTCCCGTTAGGCAGGTATTCCAACCATATGGCAAGAATAATGTCACATCTGTTCATGGTGGCAAGCCATGTGAAGGTCTTGTGTGGTTTGAGATCACGCCTGCCTGCTGTCTCTGCCTTTGTATGACCCCATTTCTGTTCACCCTTCCTCTTTAGTTGTGTACATCATGTATTGTGTACCTCATTCATTCCAGTTCACCACCCACTTAGAATCTGGCATACTCTCTGTTGCTAAGCTGGACTGTTCAATGAATTCGCTGAAGCAAAAATTTATTCTGTCTTTATATGTGTGTGTGTGTGTGTGTATGCGCGTGTGTGTGTATGTATGTGACACACACCAATAAATATTATAAGAAATTATTTCAATGATGACATTGTTCTGCTTGCTAGTGCATCTTCCCACCATACTTCTTCATCAAGGAACTTAAAATATTAATTTCAAAGCTGTCAAAAAGAAAAAAGCAGGGATGAATGGAAGGAGATTTGCATATTGAATAATTAGGTATTTTGATGTTTTATTATTGAGAGCTATTGAAAAGGATTTTTTTGTTTAGAGGAAAGGTAATAGGAGCCAGGTGCTAGTGGCTCACACCTGTAATCCTAGCTACTCAAGAGGCTGAGATCTGAGGATTGCGGTTCAAAGCCAGCCCGGGCAGGAAAGTCTGTGACACTCTTTTTTTTTTTTTTTTTTGGGTCCGGTCGTGGGGCCTGAACTCTGGGCCTGGGCACTGTCCCTCAGCTCTTCAGCTCAAGGCTAGCACTCTACCAGTTGAGCCACAGCGCCACTTCCGGCTTTTTTCTTTTTTGCTTATGTGGTGCTGAGGAATCAAACCCAGGGTCTCAGGCGTGCAAGACAAGCGTTCTACCCACTGAGCCACCTTCCCAGCCCGTCTGTGACACTCTTATCTCCAATAAACCACCAGAAAACCAGAAGTGCATTGTATCTCAAGTGGTGGAGCGCTCATCTTGAGCTGAAGAGCTCAGGGACAGTGCTCAGGACCAGAGTTCAAGCCCCACAAGTGACCAAAAAAAAAAAAAAAAGAAAGATAATAGGTAAAATTCCTGTTTATAATATCATATAGGCTCAATTGAATGTAAATGTAAACAATAAGACTATTAAAATAAGGCTGGTGTGGTGGCACACTGTACCAGCACTCTAGGCTAGGTGTGGAGGTGAATTTGAAGCTGGCTTGGACTATATATAACAAGTTTTAGCCAACATGAGCTCAATAATAGCATACTGGTAAGCATGCATAAGGCTCTTGATTCAAATCCCAGCACCTCAAGGAAAAAAATAGATACAAGCGTAAGTAGGAAGCACAGGATAGCATTGTTGCTATGATTTAATTCTGAGCTTCCTTAAATGAATGTCAAAAAGGAAACTTACAAATGTGCTATATAAGTATCTGTTCTCGAGACTTAAGCACTTGATTTTAAAAGGAAGGTATTTTTTTTTCATGAGCTTCTGTGAACGTAGGAGGAATCATTTAGACCTGGCCTCTGTTTGCCTCCTCTGCCCACCAGGATCACCCAGTATACTCCTTACCAGCCAGAGGTGTCTCAAGGGAGGTTGGAGAGCTTACTTAACTACCAGACCATGGTGTGTGACATCACAGGCCTGGACATGGCCAACGCATCCCTGCTGGATGAGGCCACTGCAGCTGCAGAGGCCATGCAGCTGTGCCACAGGTGAGAGACTCAGCCTGGGATTCCTTCCAAAGGGAAACACCTTGCAGTCCCTTTCCTGCTGTGCACATATGCAAGCTCAGTGACTTTCCTCACATATATATGTGTACACACACACACCTAATAAACACATAGGGGTATGGATGATAGGTATTATAATGGACTTATTGTATCAGTTAACAAAAAGATCTCATATAATAGTATTTTTTCCCAAGTCACTATTTAACATTATATAATTTTACATAATAAGCCTAGAGTTAAGCCTAAATTCAGATGTGGTATAGTAACCCTGGAATATTACAATCCTGATACATTATGGTATACTTCCCTCACCTCCAAGAAACCAAAGCCCCTATCTATGCTACCTTCAGTGTAAGGCTTCATCCTTCCTTCTAGCAGGTGACTGCTAGAGCTCTCATTACATCTGATCTCAGGAAGAAACAATGAAGATTTCTAAGTTCTCTCCAGAGTTGCACAAAGCTGAGAATTTTGTGTATAAGGTGCAGGATTTGCTTTGAACTGCTTAGAGTTGATGAGCTACTCACACAGCAAATTCTTGACTTCCTTTCCCTCTTAATTTTCATTCCTGGAGATTTGCATTTAGACTCACCCTTATAAAACAGCATGTGAGTTTAGGTGTATGTGTTTAAATCTCAGTGATTTGTTATCATCATTATCACTGTTGTTGTTGTTATTGTTGGACATGGTACTGAAGTTTGAACTCAGCCTAGCCCTAGAAGACTTGAGCTATTCTCCAGCCCTCATTTACATATATATATTTACACACACACACACATACACAGAGTTCCTGTCCTGGGGCTTGAACTCAGAGCCTGGGCACCATCCCAGGGCTTTGTGCTCAAGGCTAGGGCTCTACAGCACAATTTCTAGCTTTTTAGTAGTAAATTGGAGATAGCATGGACTTTTCTGTCCTGATTGGCCTTTTACTGCAATTCTCAGAGCTCAGCCTCCTGAGTAGCTAGGATTATAGGTGTCGGCCACTGACAGCAAACCCCATTTAAGCTTTGACATCTCGTTTCTCCAGATTTATTTAGGCTCAAATTGTAAAAAGTATTGCACATTAGGTTATTATTTTTGTGTCCTTCCAACTCAAATTATGCTATTAAGTTTGCATTTATTACAAAAGTAATATCTGGTGCTGGGAATGAGGTTTAATGGTAGAGAATAGTTGCCTAGCATGCATGAGGTTCTGGATTCAATTCCTTGGTATGAGATAAACAAAAAATAAAACAAAATTAAAACAGAAGGCATAAAAATATTAGCACCTTAAGGTTATTAAAGCCAGGAGATTAATATTAGATAATAAAAAGTAATATCAGTACTTAGTGAAAAAAATCCAGTCAGTTGAATGGAATATAAAGTAAAACCTGACATTTGCTAGTCCTAGTCTCCCAAGGAAGACCTTGTTGAGTGTTCATTTTCTGTATTTCTGGGAAATTAAGTGGCTAGTACAACCTACATCCACATCCCACATATTTTTTTTCTTTTACCCAGATGTGCTTCTGACACAAACTGTTTATATCCACATATTTCTTTTCCTGGAACCATGGCATGGTTCCTGAGATGTAAGTCCTAGATCCAGCTTTGCTCTGTGTATTTCAGTATGCAAAATTTGGGCCATTTTAAAATTGCTAGTTGGTGGTGCTAAATTACTGGTGGTTCACGCCACCAGTAGAGGCTCAGATCTGAGAATTGGAGTTTGAAGCCAGCCCCGGCAGGAGAATCTGTGAAACTTTTATCTCCAGTTAGCCAGTAAAAAGCTAGAAGTAGAGCTGTAGCTGAAGTGGTAGAGGGCTAGCCTTGGCACAAGGAAGAGGGTCTAGGTCCTGAGCTCAAGTCCCAGGACCCGTGCACATGTGTCATAAACACACACATAGATTGCTGAATGGGGTTAGAATGAGAGTTGGATGTAAGTGGAACCGCAGCAGCTATCACTAGCTAGTAATGAATGACTCAGTACTTTTCCCACTGTGCTTAGACTTGTACTCAGTACCATGTTTGCTTTGCGTTCTTAGACTGAAAAAAAAAAAAGAAACTTTGTTTGCTTATTTATTTATTTATTTAGTCAGTGGTGGGGCTTGAACTCTGGGGCTTGGGTGTCGTCACTGCGCTCTTCAGCTCAAGGCTAGTGCTCTGCCACTTGAGTCACAGTGCCATTTCTGTTTTCGGGTGGTTAATTGGAGATAAGAGTTTCAGGGACTTTCCTGCCCGGACTGGCTTTGAACCATGGTCCTCAGATATCAGCCTCCTGAGTAGCGAGGATTATAGGTGTGAGCCACTGGTGTCTGGCTAGAAACTTTGAGATTTAAATGTTCATGTTTGAATGTGCCTTTTTTTTCTTTTCAACAGACACAACAAGAGGAAGAAGTTTTTTGTTGACCCTCGTTGCCACCCACAGACAATAGCTGTTGTCCAGACTCGAGCCAAGTAATTAATTTTATTTGTGTTTTAAAACTGGGTAATACCATGTTCACCTCTATCATTTCTCTCTTTCTCACTTTCAATCTGAATGGAGGTGAACCTGCTTTAAATGGAGGAGGTTGAGTTTTATTTATTCCTCTCACTTTCGTCAGGAAATCTCTCTGGTAAGTATATTGTCACAATTGAGGGGGACATGCATGGTGGGCTTAGTTGCCTTGATTTATGTTTTTGTTTTGTTTTGTTTTTTGTGCTTGTCCCAGGGCTTGAACTCAGGACCTTGCATTCTCCCTTAGTTTTTTTTTCTCATGGCTGGAACTCTGCCTCTTGAGCTATACTTCCACTTTGAGCCTTTTGCTGGTTTATTGAGGATTAGAGTCACTCAGATTTATCTGCCAAGACTGGCTTCAAACTGCAATGTTTAGTAATGTTTAGTCCTAAGCCTTCTGAGTAGCTAGGATTGCAGGCATGAGCCACCAGAGCCTTGCCTTGCCTTTCTCCGTTCCTTTCCTTTCCTTTCCTTTCCTTTCCTTTCCTTTCCTTTCCTTTCCTTTCCTTTCCTTTCCTTTCCTTTCCTTTCCTTTCCTTTCCTTTCCCTTTTTCCTCTTCTTTTCCTTCCTTCCCTCCTTCCCTCCTTCCCTCCCTCCCTCCTTCCTTCCCTCCCTCCTTCCTTCCTTCCTTCCTTCCTTTCTTCCTTTCTTTCTTCCTTCCTTCCTTCCTTCCTTCCTTCCTTACTTCCTTACTTCCTTCCTTCCTTCCTTCTTTCCTTCCTCCCCTCCCCTTCTTTATGGGGCTTGAACCCAAGGACTGGGTGTTGTCCCTGCTCTTTTTCACTCAAAGCCAGCACTCTACCACTTTGAGCCACAGCTCCACTTCTGATTTTCCGGTTAATTGGAAATAAGAGTCTCAAAGACTTTTTCTGCCTGGGCTGGCTTTGAACTATGAGCCTCAGACCTCTGCCTCCTGAGTTGCTGGGATTACACCAGTGCTACCAGTGCTAATGCCTGGCTTTCCTTTGCTTTATAGTAAGTTGTAGCATGGTTTCATCTTCTTGGTTTTGTTTTGTTTTTTTTTTTGGGTTCGGTTGTGGGGCCTGAACTCTGGGTCTGAGCACTGTCCCTCAGCTCTTCAGCTAAAGGCTAGCGCTCTACCACTTGAGCCACAGCGCCACTTCCGGCTTTTTTCTTTTTGCTTATGTGGTGCTGAGGAATCGAACCCAGGGCCTCATGCATGCAAGGCAAGCGCTCTACCACTGAGCCACCTTCCCAGCCCAGTTTTATCTTCTTGTAAAAAGAAAATTTGAAATATTAAATTCTTCTAGCTGTGGTGGCATATGTCTGTAATTCAGGAAGGCTGAAACTTTTGAGATTTGCCTGGGCTGTATAGCACAGTAAGTTCTAGACTACTGGCCTACAGAGACAGATCCTACCCAAAATTAAAAAAAATCATTTCAACAGCATTTTGGAAAGTTAGAAAAACAGAAGGAAAAAAATTGTGTTTAATTTATGTGTATTTCCTACCAATGTAGTTCATATCATGGCCATGAGTAGATTCAAGTGTGGAACATTTGTTTAGTACTACAATCAGCTAAAATAGACTCCACACAATTAGCCACTGAGTAGCATATTTGCTTTCTTCTTTGGAAACCCACCCCACCATGACAGAGGGGGTTTCTGGCATGTGATCATCACTTGAGGCCTTTAGGAATCCCAGGAAGTTCTTTTTCATCTTCCAGAGGTTTTTCCATTCATCTAAGACTAATGACTGATGATTCTGTTCATCTGTTGGGCCTTTTGCCCTGGGAAGTGATGCCCTTGACTCTCTCTCAGGAGTGGGTTCTGACAGGAAAGGCTAACGGGGAGGGGAATGGTCAGCGAAGAAGAGAGAGATGTAGCTGATGCAGTGGTTTGGGGTGAAGAGAGGCAAGGTGTGGGATGACACTGAGAGAAGGCCCAGAAAATGAATACTCTTTTACTGAAAAGAAATGGTAGGTTTTATTTATATACAATGAAGCCTGTTTGTTCTTTGCTCTCTTTCTAGATATAGGGGAGTCCTTGTTGAGCTGAAGTTACCCCATGAAATGGACTTCAGTGGAAAAGACGTGAGTGGAGTGTTATTCCAGTACCCCGACACTGAGGGGAAGGTGGAAGACTTCACAGAGCTCGTGGAAAGAGCGCACGAGGCTGGGGTAAGCAGACTCCTTTTGTGGGGGCTCAGGGTGGTCTATTGCAGTTTTTATGTTTGTCTTTGGGTGTATCTTCGTTTCTTTACCATTATCACATGGAATGGTGGAATTCTCCTTCCTATTCTTTCTCTTCCTTTATTCAGGCCACTCGTTTCCTGGCACATTGTAGGGACCCGGTAAATGTTAAAGGGGTACACAAGCATACAGAGTTTCCTGAATGTGAACTCTGTCATTCTGCCTGAGTTAATGTTATTCTCTGTGTATTCTCCATCTCTTCTCTGCAAAGGTAACAACCCTTTGACCCCTTCTCTCTCATTTCCTTTTCAGAGCCTGACCTGCTGTGCTACTGACCTTTTGGCTCTGTGTATCTTGAAGCCCCCTGGAGAGTTTGGGGTGGACATTGCCCTGGGTAGCTCACAGCGGTTTGGAGTGCCACTGGGCTATGGGGGACCACATGCAGCCTTTTTTGCTGTCAGAGAAAACTTGGTGAGGATGATACCTGGAAGGATGGTGGGGGTCACCAGGTAAAGCAGCTCCCGCTTCCTCTCTTTTATTATGGGTGTGATCTTTGTGGGTCCTCTTTTTTTGTCAGTCATGGGGCTTGAACTCTAGGCCTGGGTGCTGGCTCTCAGGTCTTCAGCTCAAGGTGAGCACTCTACTACTGGAGCCACAGTGCCACTTCTGGTTTTCTGGTGGTTAATTGGAAATAAGAGTCTCATGGACATTCCTGCCTGAACTGGCTTTGAACCATGATCCTCAGATCTCAGCCTCTTGAGTAGCTAGGATTATAGGCATGAGCCACTGGTGCCTTGCTAACTGAGTCTTCTCATATTTATGAATTATAGTAAACATTTAGAGAAAAATGGTAAGACTATTAGCATTCCTTTTTCTTTTGTAATGGACATTCAGTCTCTGTATTTCTGGTACAGAAACTGTATTTTCTCAGGATCTATTTCCCTTTTTTCTCTGTCTGCCAAGAAGGTTAGGGTGAATTTTAATCCTGTCTCCATCATTCTATTAGGTTGGTTTATTTCTAAGACATCCTTCACTGTTCCTAGCCTTAAATATATGTCTCAGTGCTTTGAAGATGGTTTAGGAACTGTTATGAATTTACCTCCAAACAACTTCACTGAGTTCACTTAAGCTAAGAAGGAAAGATGCTTGTTCATTGTGGCAAATCATGGTGCTGGGATTATCTGTGCTGACCATATGTAATTGTCTTGGTCCAGAGATGCCACTGGGAAAGAAGTATATCGACTTGCTCTTCAAACCAGGGAGCAACACATCCGAAGGGACAAAGCCACCAGCAACATCTGTACAGCCCAGGTAAATCACATCTGACCGCATGGTTCCCAGAACTGAGTTTATTGTAAACTGAGAAAACAGAGATGCCACATTTTGAGAGGTCAAATCTTGAAGTCTTTATTAAAAGGCCAGTGACTCTGTGGTGGACTCCTGTCTCAAAGACCAGCAGCCAGCAAATACATTAAACATTGTTAGGAAACTGAGCCATGAAGGCCAGAGATGAGAGGAAGAACAAAAACAATACCAACAAACCAACTGGGACACCATGGTGACTGGAGAACATCCAGAAGACAGGACATAAGCACCAAGATGTATGGCATGGGGTAATGGTGCTTGAGCTGGTCCAGGCCTAAATAGGGTCAGGTCAGGGGGCAGGGTCACAGGAAACTCCCTATTCCCAGGCACAGGACTGACAGGTTTAGTAATCTGTCATCCAAGCACCTGCCCCTGCCTCCAGGTATTTGGGCACACACGTTACCTGGGAGGTCGGGGCTTCAACTTCCTCCATCATGAAGACAAGATGCCAAACCCTACCATCCACCATGTGGCCAAGAAGGCGCTGGGCAGAGCTAGTCTCCCTATTTCAAGTTCATCACCCATTCCTTCTTATGCTGATCCATTGAGCAGGGGACAACCAAGAAATGACAAGGTCTTAGTAGTTGGATAAGAGTATGGTCTTACTAGAACCAAAATACATTGTTTTTCTACTGCTGCATGTACTATCTGTTTTAACTTTTTAACAAACCTAGGCAAGTACTCTACCACTTGAATTATGCTCCCAGTCCACCATTTTCCATGCCTATTACCAGTCCTGGGTTGGCTTCAGTTCATAGCTGTGAGGAATTTGGGGAAGGGAAAGGGGAAGGGAAATGATTCCATGGTGCCTGCAGTAAGGCAGTTCTTAGTATGGGTCAGGGAGGCTGGTGAGTGTTCTTTTAAGTCATTTCCCATCAGTATGAGGTTCTGAGTTGTTCACAGTTCACCATTAGTTTTCTCTATTTTTTGTGGTTTTTGTTTGTTGTTGTTTTTGGTCAGAGTCATACTAGTGAGTGAATATTTCATTGCAGTTTCAATTTGCATCTCTAAAAACAATAAGCATTTAAAGCATTTTTTCATTATTGTCTTTAAGAGATTCTAGATTCAATTTTTACCTTATTTGTCAAAATATTTGGAATTTCTTGGTCTTTATTTCTTTGATCCTTTGATACTGTAATGCCCTGTGAAGGTTTTAATTTCTTCCTCTGTTCTCCCCACCCCCATCTTCTTTTTTTCTTTTCTTTTTTTTTTTATCTAACACAGATTTGTTTTGCTATGACAAAGTTATGGAGAAATAGAAAAAGAGAAACATGTAAGGTACCAGTGGCTCACATCTGTAAACCTAGCTATTCAGGAGGCTGAGATCTGAGGATCACAGTTCAAAGTCAGCCCAGGGAAGGAAAGTTCCTGAGACTTTTATCTCTAACAACCAGAAAACTGGAAGTGGCGCTGTGGCTCAAGTGGTAGAGCACCCGCCTTGAGCTGAAGAGCTTAGTGACAGTGCCTGGGCCCAGAGTTCAAGCCTCATAACCAACAAAAAAGAAAACGAAAAGCATTTCCTCTTTCTCATGCAGGAAATGGGAGTTCCGACTCAGAACGACAGCTGTTAACTTGACAGCTGTTAACTTGCTGCCTTTGTTCTTTCTGAGCTGGGGGGGGGGGGAAATACACTTGGTCTGGTCTTTAACTCCCCCTTTAACCCCTGGAGGAAGGCTCTGAGTAAGATAGGCAGGGCTTTCCCTTGCCTAACTTGCCTTTTGTTCTTTATATTTTTACCCATTCTTGTAAAGTTCCCAGATGTTTATCATTTCAATGGAGAAGGTTGATTTAGGTAGTACCTTATCTTGCACCTAATCTTTAACATTTAAAAAGAGATGTACAGGGTGGAGACTTCATCTTTTTTTTTTCCAGTTTATTTCTTAGTTTTTCTTTTTGTGTTTGAATCTTTTGATAGTTACTAAAAATAGTCTAATTTGCCTATCTCCACCTTATCTATTCTGCCTCTTCTCCCCTAAACAACTGTGTCTCTTTTTAATTTTAAAAGGCAAGCAGAAACAGCCAGGTACCTGTGGTTCTTGCCTGTAATCTTAGCTACTAAGGAGGCTGAGATCTGAGGATCCCAGTATGAAGGCAGCCCTGGAAGGAAAGTGAGACCCTCATCTGGAAATGGTTAAAGCTGGAAATGGTTAAAGCTGTGGAAGTGGTAGAGTGTTAGCCAGTCTTTTCTGTCCAACTAAAGTGCCTCTGTTTTATAACATTTCCTGGAATGACTTGCTTTTTGACTATTACCTGTGTTGTTTGTGGCCAGCAGCCACTGAGGAACGTGAATCTTGTATCAAAGGAATTAACAGAAGGAATTGTAATCACCAGGTGTGCTGCTTGAGATCAACTAGCGGAGTTAGGGAGATAAATTTTTATCAAAGGAGTTAAAAGAACAAACTAACTGCCCAGTCTGTTGTACTGCTTGTTAGAAAGAGCAGTCTTCATCAATGGAGTTAAAAGAAGTAAAACCCCTTTCAAGGAGCTTTCTACCGAGCTTACCAGCCTCTTACAACTGTATCTGCCAGCCACCCTTGTTCCCAGCCCTGCTCCTCTCCAGCTGTAATGGAACAAAAATTGTAAACCTTGGGGAAAAAAATTAAAGAACAGCCCTCTTCCTAACCTTGGGTGATCAGGTATATTTATTTTTATTTTTATTTTTTTGTTGGTCATGGGGCTTGAACTCTGGGCCTGGCCGGTTTTCTGGTGGTTTATTGGAGATAGGAGTCTCACGGTCTTTCCTGCCCATGCTCGTTTCGAACCGTGAACCTCAGATCTCAGCCTCCTGAGTAGCTAGGATTACAGGTATGAGTCACCAGCACCCAGCTTGATCAGGTATATTTAGAATGTGAGCCTAACTCCTTGACACAGAGGAGGGAAAAAAAAAAAAAACCTCAGTAGATTGATAGCTATTATAAAAAGCTATACCAAGGAGCTCATGTGAATAGAACTTATACCTCCTCCAAATCCAAGACCTTCAAACTATTTATATTAGGCTTTTTATATTGTGCTTTTTTTAAAAAAAATTGTCAGTCATGAGGCTTGAACTTAGGGTCTGGGTGCTGTCCCTGAGCTTTTTCACTCAAGACTAGTAATGTACCACTTTGAGCCACAGTGTCACTTCCAGTGTTTTGGAGATAAGAGGCTCATGGACTTTCCTGACTGGGCTGGCTTTCAACTTTGATCTTCAGATCTCAGCCTATTTTTTTTTTTTTTTTTGGTCGGGTCATGGGGCCTGAACTCTGGGCCTGGGCGCTGTCCCTCAGCTCTTCAGCTCAAGGCTAGCCCTCTACCACTTGAGCCACAGTGCCACTTCCGGCTTTTTTCTTTTTGCTTATGTGGTGCTGAGGAATCGAACCCAGGGCCTCAAGCATGCAAGGCAAGCGCTCTACCACTGAGCCACCTTCTCAGCCCCTCTCAGCCTCTTAAATAGCTAGGATTACAGATGTGAGCCACGGGTGCCCTGCCTGCATTATTATTATTTTGTGCCAGTACTGGGACTTGAACTCAGGTCATTGAGTGTTTTTTGCTCTGGCACTCTACCACTTGAGCCCTGTCTCCAGTCTGGCATTTTGCTGGTTAGTTGGAGATAGAGTAACAAAGACTTTTCTGCTGTGGCTGTCTTTGAACATTGACTGTCAACTCTCACCTGGCGGTCCTAGTTATTAAATTTAACATTTTATTTTTTCGGTGCTGGGGATTGAAGAGAGGACTAGTGTGTGCCAGGCACACTACCAATAAACTACAGCCCAGCGTCATTCATCTTGTCTGAAACGCAGTCTCGATTGTTTTATTTAAGCTGTTAGGTTAAGTTAGCTGAAGTGTATTCCCTGAGTTTTTGAGTCATTTGGAAGTTGCTTGCTGCTTTATTCTTGAGGACTGAGTGTAAAATTCTCAGCTCTCACCTTCCATCTTCACATCAGTTGCTCCACGGGCTTTGAATGTTGCATACTGCCTTTTGTGCTTGTAGCAGACTATTCTTCCCTATTGTGAATCTGATTATGTTGCAGCATCCAGCCCTCCGCGCAGTGGTTAAATTTGAGGGTAGACATGCACTTTAACAATGGTTCCCAACGATCACAGGGAAGGCAGAAAAAGGAGCAATTTGTTTCGTTCCTGTTTTTAGTTTTGCCATCTCAAGACCTATGATTTCTCCTTGCCATCATTTTTTTGGGGGGGAGAGCTGGGGTTCTGTTTTGGGACTTGAACAGGGCCTAAGTGCTGTGTCCTCAAGGCTAGCACTCTATCACTATGAGCCACAGCACCAACTCTTGGTTTTCTGGTGGTTAATTGGAGATAAAGTCTCACGGACTTTCCTGCCTGGGGCAGGATCCTCAGCTCTCCTGAGTAGCTAGGATTATAGCCGTGAGCCACTGATGCCTGGCTTTTTTTTTGGTCGTGGTGCTTGAACTCTGGGCCTGGGCACTGTCCCTCAACTCAAGGCTAGTGCTCTACCCCACTTGAGCCACAGTGCTACTTCTGGTTTTTGGCGGTTTATTGGAGATAAGAGCCTCACAGACTTTCCTGCCCGGGCTGGCTTTGAACCATGATAGTCAGATCTCAGCCTCTGAGTAGCTAGGATGACAGGCATGAGCCTTTGTGTTTTTTAGTCACATTCTCATACCTGATTCCTTATTCTTTTAGGCCCTCCTGGCAAATATGGCTGCCATGTTTGCCATCTACCATGGATCCCACGGGTTGGAGCATATTGCTAGAAGGGTACATAATGCCACTTTGATTTTGTCTGAAGGTAAGTCTAATATCTGCTTTTGGCATAACAAGACTGGTAAATTTGATACAGTTGAAAACTTGGAACATAACCAATACTGATTGCAAAATTAAAAGTCAGATGAGAACATTTTTATTATCTATGATAGACTAAGTATCAATCTTAGGATATATAGGATTCTGATTCTCTTCTCCCTCCTAAAAGAACAAAAAGAATGAATGCTGTGATGGAAAAAATGAACACAGAACATTTAGAAAGAAAGAAAACTGCTCACTTCTGTACTCCTAGCTACTTGTAAAGCTGAAATCAGAGGATCACTGTTTGAAGTCAACCAGGGCAGGAAAGCTTGTGAGATTCTTACTTCCAATTAAGCACCAGAAAAGTCAGAAGTGGAGCTGTGGGCTTGTGAGTTAATTGGAGATAAGAGTCTCATGGACTTTCCTGCCCAGGCTGGCTTTAAATCAGAATCCTCAGATCTTAGGCTCCTGATTGTTATAGGTGTGATCCACCAGCATCTAGCTATTTAATCTTTTTCTGAACTTTAAAAGCTTGTACAAGTTCTTTATAATTTAACATGTTCATTTAAATGTTCAGTGCTTCTTGGTGGAAGTCACTTCTTCGATCATGTATTTAACTTATTTTTAAAGTATGCATAGGAACACTGGCCAGGATCAAGAACAGCCTATAGTAGAAGTTACCTCTTTATTTCTCTATGAAGTAAAAGTAGCCATGGAGCCGGGTGCTGAACTTGAGGCTAGTGGTTCTCCTGTCTTCTACAGGTCTCAGGCGAGCAGGGCATCAACTCCAGCATGACTTATTTTTTGACACCCTGAAGGTTCAGTGCGGCTGCTCAGTGAAAGAAGTTTTGGCCAGGGCTGTTCAGCGACAAATCAATTTTCGGTTATTTGAAGATGGCACAGTAAGTCAAACTTTCAGTATCGTTGCCAGTTATACTTTTCTGTGTTCTCTTCATAAGATCTTGGCAATTTACTTAGATTTTTTTTTATCACAATCTTAATTTTTTGGTAAGCAGTTTTCATGTCTAGTTTGGAATACTATGACCTTGTCAAATAAAACACAAAGACTTATTTTCAACTTTCCTCAAGACTGTGTGTTTTCACAAAATTCCCAAAACTGTTCAAGATACTCACACAAGTGATCTGTGATACAATAATGCAAATGTAGGCTAGAAGAGGTTCACATCCTCTGTTCCAGTGGGTATGTATTTCAGTCACTGCAGATGTCTAAGCCATGTGAAGTCTGGTCTGGTGTAATTCCTTTCCCATAAAGCTCAACTTGGACACAATGCCACCCCTGATGCCTTGGAATAACTGAGGACTTTTTAACTTAAAAAATTCTTATTGTAAAGGCGATATGCAGAGGGGTATATAAGTACAGTTATGTAAGTCAGGTAATGGAGCTTATTTTTTGTAATCAATGTTTACTTACTTAATTTATTTTTTGCCAGTCCTGGGGCTTGAACTCAGGACCTGGGCACTGTCCCTCAGCTCTTCAGCTCAAAGCTAGTGCTCTACCACTTGAGCCACAGCACCACTTCTGGCTTTTTCTGATTATGTGGTGCTGAAGAATCAAATCCAGGGCCTCATGCATGCAAGGCAAGCACTCTACCACTGAGCTATCTTCCCAGCCCTATTTAATTAAAAAAATTTTTTTTTGCCTGCATGGGAGCTTGAACTCAAGGGCCTCCCATTTGCTCAGTTTGTGTGCTTGGCTGGTGCTCTCCCAATTAAATCATGCCTCTAGCTAGCTTTTCTGCTAGTTAACTGGAAAAAAGAGTTTCGTGAAATTTTCTGTGAACTGCAGTCCTCTAGCTCTCAGATTCCTGAGTAGCTGGGATTACAGGCATGATCTACCTTCTTCAGGCATGACTGAGAATTTTAGTCTCCGTGATGGCACTTGCACGTGAAGTAGGGAGACTGGATCTAAGTAATCACCTGGCTCTCACAAGCCATCCTGGTGCCTAACTGGGTGACAGGGGCTGTCCACCCAGCTCCAAAGACCTAGAGGTGAGATAAGCTGTCCTTTGAATTGCAGATGTCTAGCTCAGTTGATAGAGCAAGGAGGGCTCTATTTCAGAGGATATGCAGATGTATCATGTTACAAGATGATATTACTTAGACCTGGTCTCCTTACTACACAGTGATCTTGGAATTTAGAACTGATGGTGCCCATTTTGCTTTTGTTTCTGTAGCTTGGTATTTCCTTGGATGAAACAGTCAATGAAAAAGATCTAGATGATTTGTTGTGGATCTTCGGTTGTGAGTCATCCGCAGTAAGTAAAATAGACACACACATTCTTTATAATGACTGTTAGAGATAGTATCAAAGATTGTTTTAACTCTTGTAGTCCTGACTTTTAGGAGGTAAGTTCAGGTATAAAACTAGGCAGCCCCCAGTTCAACTTATGGCAGTGATTGACCTTTGTTCCTTCTGACATCAATGACCTATTTGGAAGGATTATTAATAGTGCTTAATTGAAATTATCCCAAATACAAGATTAATGACATTGGCATCTTGTTTCAAATCAATTCTGGGTAAGATATGATGCTTATTCATTTAATAAGTAATTATTGAGGACCTAATATGTGCCAGGTACTATGCTACTGCTTGAGACTACAGAGGTGAATATGTGTGTGTGTGCGTGTGTGTGTGTGTGTGTGCATGTGTGTGTGCGCGCATATCGCCTTTACAATAAGAATTTTAAGTTAAAAAATCCTGTTATTCCAAGGCATCAGGGGTGGCATTATGTCCAAGTTGAGCCTTATGGGAAAAGAATTACACCAGACCAGACTTCACATATATATACATATATATATATATGTATAAATATACACACATATAAACAAATATATTAATATACAGATACATATATACACACATATGTATGTGATAGTCCAATTTTTTTTGTGTATGTGTGTGTGTATACGTGTATACACACACTCATACCAGTGGTGACAGTCCAATTGTGTGTGTGTGTTTGTATCCTGGCCCTGGGGCTCAGTTACTGTCCCTGAGCTGCTTTTGCTCAAGGCTAGCACTTACCACTTAGTCACAGCTCTACTTCTGGATTTTTTTTAGCAGTTAATTGGAAATAAGAGCCTCATGCCCAGGCTGACTTTGAACTGATATCCTCATGTATCTGCCTCTTGAGTAGCTTGGATTATAGGTATGAGCTATAGGCACCCAGCCCCAAATGTTTTTAATTAATGGAATACATTTTATCTATTTTTCTTTTGTTGCTCATGTTCTTTCTTTCTTTCTTTCTTTCTTTCTTTTTCTTTCTTTCTTTCTTTCTATCTTTCTCATGAGGCTTGAACGAAGGGCCTGGGCTCTGTCTCTGAGCTCTTGCTCAAGGCTAGCACTGTACAACTTTGAACCACAGCACCACTTCTGGTTTTTGAGTCATTTATAGGAGATAAGAGTCTCATGGAGTTTCCTGCCCAGGCTGGCTTCCAACCATGATCCTCAGATCTCAGCCTCTTGAGTAGCTAGGATTACAGGCGTGAGTCCTGGTGTCTGGCTGCATTTTGTCTTTTTTTTTGTCTGTCATGGGGCCTGAACTCTGGGCCTGGGCGCTGTCCCTCAGCTCTTCAGCTCAAGGCTAGCACTCTACCACTTGAGCCACAGCACCACTTCCAGCCTTTTCTGCTTATGTGGTGCTGAGGAAAGACCCAGGGCCTCATGCATGCTAGGCAAGCACTCTACCACTGAGCCACCTTCTCAGCCCAGCATTTTGTCTTTTAAATGAAGTCTGTAATTCATTTTGTGTGATTTGTGGCCTAGCTTCCTGGAAGCCTGGATGTCCACACACATTTCCAGGTACAACTTCTGTCCTTGAGCTTCTGTTTTCTCTCCATCTAGGAATTGGTGGCTGAAAGCATGGGGGAAGAGAGAAGAGGTATTCTGGGGTCTACATTCAAGAGAACCAGCCAGTTTCTCACACATCAGGTGTTCAACAGGTTTGTGTGACTTGATGACTTTCATATCTTTTGTCTTGGCACAAGCTAGGGAGCTCCTTGGGGAGCTACTTCTGACAGCAACCATCATGTAGCTTAGGTTATTGTGGCTTAGCTATGGCTCACTGGTAAATCAATATGCCTCATTGAGCCAAGCATATCTAGTTTCCTGATGGGTATTTTCTGCTGGCACAGTAAATTCATATAGAGGAGAATTTGTAGATATAGTTGGCCAGGCTGAATTTTCTCCTCCAGAATCTTATATCCTCTTCTTTCCAACCTTCCTCTTGTGCTTACAAATAGCTTTTTTGTTTGTTTGTTTTTGGCTGGTTGTGGGGCTTATACTCAAGGTCTGGATGCTGTCCTTAAGCTTTTGTGTTCAAGTCTAGCTCTCTGACACTTTGAACTACAGCTCTACTTCTGGTTTTCTGGTGGTTAATTGGATAAGAGTCTCATGACCTTTCCTGCCTGGGCTGGCTTCAAACTGCAATCCTCAGATCTCAGCCTCCTGAGTAACTAGGATTATAGGTGGGAGCCACTGGCACTCAGCTTCTGATGGCTTCTTTTTATCAGCCATCCTCTGAGGTCTATGGGGGTATAGGCCCTTTCTTCAGATGTAGTTGACTGTTTGCCATGGTCAGAATTGCTCTTTAGTTTGAAGATAGATCTCAGTGTGTCTTACTCTCATAAGGATGTGTGTGGTTCTTGTCTAATTTTCTTGGCCCTAACCTCGTGTTTTATATCCACAGCTATCATTCAGAAACAAATATTGTCCGCTACATGAAGAAACTAGAAAACAAAGACATTTCCCTTGTTCACAGCATGATTCCACTGGTAATTGTTTTTGACTTTGTATTCACCTCTAGTCCTTACCCTGCCCAGACTCCTTTGAATCATATCTCATGCTACAAGAGGGAAAAGAGGTGGCTGTATGGGGAGACGGTGGGGTTGATACGTGGACTGTAGGAAATCACTAATGTGATACATTTTGCCTGTGTTTCCTAAAGGGATCCTGCACCATGAAGCTCAACAGCGCCTCTGAACTGACAGTAAGTAGCCTGTTCTCTGAAGAGGGTACTTTCTGGGGCAGCTTTCCAGTTACTACAGAGGAGTTACCAGGACTGTGACTTCATAAGTGCTTTTTATGTATTTTTCTTTTTTTGATGCCAGTCCTGGGACTTGAACTCAGGACCTAGGTACTGTCCCAAAGCTTCTTTTTGCTCAAGTCCAGCCCTCTACCATTTGAGCCACAGCACCACTTTTGGCTTTTTCTGTGTATGTGGTACTGAAGAATCAAACCCAGGGCTTTATGATTAATTTTTTAATTTTAAAAAAAATTTTTTTTTTTTTTTGGTCGGCCGTGGGGCTTGAACTCTGGGCCTGGGTGCTGTCCCTCAGCTCTTCAGCTGAAGGCAAGCGCTCTACCACTTGAGCTACAGCGCCACTTCCACCCAGGGCTTTATGGATGCTAGGCAAGCCCTCTACCACTGAGCCACATTCCCAGCTCAATAAGTGCTTTTTCTTAACCTTGTTCCTCAGTCGTATGAGAATGCCTCGCAGTTTTCACAACTTGCTAATTAATTATTAATAATTACTATTATTGATAGTAATAACATTATTGTTGATTGTAATCAATTAGTAATTAGTAATTAAATGTTGTTACTATTTTAGGTGGACTTCCCTGTATTGCCCAGCCTATCTTTTTTTTTTTTTAATTTTGTTTTCTTGTAAAGTTGCAATACAGAGAGGTTATAGTTACATCAGTAAGGTAATGAGTCTGGAGCTTGAACTCAGGGCCTAGCCACTGTCCCTGAGCTTCTTTTGCTCAAGGTAGCCCTCTACCACTTGAGCCACAGCTCCACTTCTGACCTTTTCTGATAGTTTATTGGAGATAAGAGTCTGACAAATTTTCCTGCCAGGGCTGGTTTTGAACCATGATTCTCAGATCTCAGTGTCCTGAGTAGATAGGATTACAAGGGTGAGCATCTGCAACTTATTCTTTTGTATTTGTGACAATTCACATGATGCATATTTGTGACAATTCACATGATGCATAGGAAATCATGTTGTATTGCATAGGGTTTTTAAATTTACTTTCGTGCCATGGTTTGTTCTGCTTCGTGAAGAGCTGGAATAGTATGTGTCCACAGAAGTCTGTTCAGGGACCTTTTTGTTCTTGTATAAGTCCATTGTGAAGCATGCATGTTGCACTTGTGCGGTGCACATAGTGACTGTACTTTACAAGAGTGTGGCAAGAATTAAATGAGTTAATATGCCCAGCACTTTGAACAGTCCCTACACATAGGAGGCATTGTTTGTATTAGGGATTGTTGTCATCATTATTATCACTGAAGTTGTTATTATGTTTTCCCTCCCCTCTTACTCTTCAGCCCATCACGTGGAAAGAATTCGCAAACATCCACCCCTTTGTGCCTCTGGACCAAGCCCAGGGATACCAACAGCTTTTTCGAGAGCTTGAGAAAGATTTATGTGAACTCACAGGTTATGACCGGATCTCTTTCCAGCCTAATAGGTAAGGGGATTTCTTTCCCTCTTTTTTTTTTTTAAAAGACTAGTTGTAAAACACCCACTCTAAAAGTCGGAGGCTTAACACAGTGATTATTTTGCTTCATTCCGTGCATTGACTGGACACTTCTACTCACCAGGATGGTGAGGCCTCACTCACATAACTAAGAGGCTGGCGATGGTTTGTTGGCTGGAGTGTAGTTGGTGACTCTGAGCAGGGCCTTGATTTTTTTTTTTCTGTATGGGCTTTTTCCTGTTGTTTCTTGAGCATCTTTACAGTGTGATGTCTGGATTCAAAATGGAGTGCTCCAAGGCAAAGCAGGCAGAAGCTGTGAAATGTTTACAGCCCAGCTTTTGAAGTTACACAGTACCTTGTTCTGTCTGTAATAATAAGCCACACTTCCAACCTAGACTGTTAGTGGTAGGGAACAGCAGATGGTTCTGCACATTGGGAGACATCTTTGGAAATGAACACCTTTGGAAATGAACACTTTGGAATTGACACCTGTCAATGATATCACATAAAAATAAGATTATAGCAGAGCACCAATGGCTCATGCCTGAAATCCTAATTCCTCAAGAGTGAGGATTGCGGTTTGAAGCCAGCCCAGGCAGGAAAGTCTGTGAGACTCTTATCTCCAATAAACTACCCAGAAAGAGCTGGAAGTGGCACTGTGGCTCCAGTGGTAAAGTGCTAGCCTTGAGCAAAAGAAGCTCAGGGACAGTTTCCAGGTCCTGAGTTCAAGCCCCAAGACTGGCAAAAAAAAAAAGAAGTAGAAGAAAGAAAAAGAATTAATACCATTACCAAGAAGCTTTATATTCAAACTGACTTGTGAAATAATAATAATAGCAGCAACAACAATAATAATAGAATAAGAAGATTATAGCAGTGTGTGTGTGGTGGGGTATGCTTGTAATCCTAGCACTTGTGATCTTAGGACAGGAAGATACTGAGTTACAAGCTAGTTTAGACAACATAGCAAGAATTTGTTTCAAAAATAGCCCAAAACAAATGAAACAAAAATATAAAAGAATAAGACTTTAAGCACACAAGGTAACTCCTAACAAAAACTAGCATCACAATATAATAGTACCCGAAGAGCTTGGGTTCTACTTTGGTTCTGTCACAAACTTTAAAAAGACCTCCCCTCTTCAGTCTTTTTTTGGGGGGTCGGTTATGGGGCTTGAACTCTGGACCTGAGTGCTGTCCCTCAGCTCTTCAGCTCAAGGCTAGCGCTCTACAACTTCAGCTTCAGTGTCACTTCCAGTTTTCTGGTCGTTTATTGGTGATGAGTCTCATGAACTTTCCTTGCCCGGGATGAACCATGATCCTCAGATCTCAGCCTCCTGAGTAGCTAAGATTACAGGCCACTGGTGCTTGGCTAGCCCTCATTTTTTAAAATCTATAAACAGTGATTTAAAAAGTACAAGCTTTCAGCAAAATTTCCTTGGCACTTGTTAAAATATTTCCTGGGCACACTCCAGACCTCCTGATTGCAATATGCAGGAATTAGGACTAGAAATCTTTCATTTCATAAATAGGAAGGAACTGACCAAATTTTCATGTACTTTTATTGACAATATCATTCAGCTTTTCAAATGTCAAAGTGAAGAAACTTCGCCCTCTAGTGGTACAATGTGATCACATCTTCAGTGTCCTAGGGTCATTTTTCAAGATCATTTGCCATTAGCTCTTACATAGTTAAGGTGATTTCCTCCCCAGGATCCTAGAAAGCTTAGCTTTCTAGGAGAAGAGTCTCATGGATTTTTCCTGCCTGCTTGGCTTCAAACCACAATCCTCCCATCTCAGCCTACTGAGTAGCTAGGATTACAGGAGTGAGCCACCAGTGTCCTGCTCAAGTGTGTGTCTTAAAAGCTACTCCAGTGATTCCAACTAGCAGCCAAGGTTGAAAACTACCATCTTATTTTACTTCTGTCGAATACTCTGTCTTTGCCCTAATTTTTCTCATTTTGTTTTCTTTTTTTGTCAGTTGTGGGGCTTGGACTCTGGGCCTGCGTGCTATCCCTCAGCTCTTCAGCTGAAGGATAGATCTCTACCACTTGAGCCACAGTGTCACTTCCAGTTTTCTGAGTGGTTTATTGGAGATAAGAGTCTTGAGGACTTCCTGCCTAGGCTGGCATTGAACCATGATCCTCAGATCTCAGCCTCCTTAGTAGCTAGGATTACAGGTGTGAAGCACTAGCCTTTTCTCGTTTTTCTCATTCTTTTTATTGATAGCCATTCCAGTATTGCAGGATGTTAGGGATTTTTTTTTTTTTTTGCCAGTCCTGGGACTTGAACTCAGGGATTGGGCACTGTTCCTGAGCTTCTTTAACTCAAGGCACTCTACCACTTGAGCCAGTATCACTTCTGGCTTTTTCTGTTTATGTGGTACTGAGGAATCGAGCATGCTAGGCAAGCACTTTACCACTAAGCCACATTCCCAGCCCTAGGGATCTTTATCAGGATAGAGTTTCTGGAAGTGATCTTATCTAGCTCCCCAGAGTCACTGAGAGAGCATCCATTCCATAAAATGAGAGAGATGGGCTGTGTACCATGTTTAGGCTTGTCTGACATATTCATGGTCCTAAGGAGGTGTTGCCTTGTCAGAGGGTAAAATACTTTGTTAGTTGGGGCCATGCTTCAGGGAAAGGAGGAAAGGATGCACATGTATTCCGTATCAGTGAGGTGATCTTTTTATTGTTATTTTTAACAGTTTTACAATCTTGTTTTGGTTTGTTTGTGCTAGTCTCTGCATGGATGTATTGTATATTCTGGTTTTATTATTGTTCTGTACCGTAGAACTATCTAAACATTGGCTTGATTAATTCATCATTATTTACAGTTGACTAGTGTCACAGCTGAGGGATTTAGATGGGCTTCATATTCATTATATGAAGAGACAAGATTTCTGGACGGCACGGAGAAAGAATTTAGTGCACTGGATCACCACAGAAGTGCTGTTCACAGAGGAGGTGGTCATAACTGTCCCAGGACCATCTCCTAGAATGGTGATTTATACCTAATCGGAGTTAGTTACACTATTTATATGTTCCTAAGAGTCTAGTCATGAAACAGTTTTGAATCTGAAGATGTTTACTCTGGTGTTACTCTATGATTTAAAAAATATAAATGCAACATTTAGGAAAGAGCCTTAGTGATAGAGTTAATTTTTATAATTGTTGTAATCTATATATTTCAGGTTTTTATTGTTGTTTTTTTTTAATTTTTGAGACAGGTTCTTGTGAGCTGTGCATGTCAGGCTGCCCTCAAACTCTTGATCTTCCTGCCTCAGCCTCTCAAGAACCTTATGCTGTCATGCGCCTTATCCTAGTTACTCATTTATTTGGTCAAATCACAAACCTAGGGAGTCTCTTTATAGCTTGGGATAGACACGATCTTATGCCTGTTTCAGCCTCTCATGTGCTGAAGCTTATCCCTGATTTTTCATTTATTTGCTCAAACCACAAGCTCTTTATAATTTGGTGCAGAGAAGAGTCAAATAATGCTGAATTCCCTTTCCATCTTCCACTGAGCTTAACTTGATTCACTTTGACTTGTTCCCGTAACATTGTGCAACCTTAAAATCCCTCAGCAGCAGACAAATGCATAGGAGTTATTGATTAAGAGTTATAATGTTGGGGCTAGGAAGGTGGCTCAGTGGTAGAGTGCTTGCCTTGCATGCATGAGGCCCTGGGTTCGATTCCTCAGCACCACATAAGCAAAAAGAAAAAAGCCGGAAGTGGTGCTGTGGCTCAAGTGGTAGAGGGCTAGCCTTGAGCTGAAGAGCTGAGTGACAGCGCCCAGGCCCAGAGTTCAGGCCCCATGACCAGACCCCCCCCCCAAAAAAAAAAAGTTATAATGTTGAAGGGAGACAGGAATAGTTAACACCTTCCATGGGACACACAAGTGAAAGACAAGACAGAATTACAGTTAAATCACTTGGCTTCTAAAGTTGAGAAAATCGTTTGTGTTTTATTTTTGTTTGTTTGTTTTTTAAATTGCAAATTGTGATCATTAATAACATTGAGATGGACACTGGATTGTTTTCCCAGCGTCTCGTCTTGAGAAGGTTCTTAGTCTAAAGTGTGACCAGGCCTGCTAGTGACTCAAAACTTACTGTGCCTGAGAAACATCTGGAAGGGTTCTGAAATTGCTCAGCCCCAGGGTTTCTGACTCAGTCAGTCTGAGAAAGGGCCCCCAAATTTATACTTCTAGCAAATTCCCAGGTGATGCTGGATACCACACTGTGAAAAGTGTTTTAAGCTGGACACCAGTGGCTCATGCCTGTAATTCTAGCCACTCGGGAGACTGAGATCTGAGGATTGCGGTTTGAAGCCAGCCTGTGCAGGAAACTATGAAACTCTTACAATAAACAACTTCAAAAAGCTGCAAGTGATAGAGTGCTTGCCTTGAGCAAACAAGAAGTTTAGTGACAGCACCCAGATCCAGAGTTCAAGCCTTAAGACTGGCCAAAAAAATAGAAAAAGAAAGAAAAGTGTTTTAAAAGTTCTCAGACCTGGCTGCCTGTTTGCATTCATTATCTGGGAGCTCTGAGGATTACTGATGCACAGACCAATTCCATGTTAGTCTTCTCCCGCAGGAACCAAGCAGCAGAATCTGTAAGCAGGGATTGTGAGCTGCCTCACTGGGTTGGAGAAGGGACTGACCTGAGGAGCACCACAGAGGACAGTCTCAGCTGGACTATTTACTATTGATAGTTTCTCTCTTTGAACTTCGAAACTGAAGCCCAGGCAAACATCCTGTGCATATCACAGATGGTTTTGGGCAAGAAGGGGTGGTACTTACTATTTGCCATCTCTCTGCCCTCCTTTCTTAGCTCTTGGTTAATTTGGAATGGGAATGCTCTGAAGGCCAGACATTGGAGACCTGTAAGCCCCAAATATGGAATGATTACACATGTCAAGAAAAAGAGAAAACAGGGTGAAGAAAGCTATCTTTGAGGGAATTCTGCTTCTTCTCTCTCCTCTCCCTTTCCCCTGTCTGACATACGTAGCTTGGAACTATGAGACTCACTTGATTGAGCTGGGCGCTGGTGGCTCATGCCTGTAATCCTAGCTACTCAAGAAGCTGAGATCTAAGAATCTAAGTTCAAAGCCAGCCTGAGCAGGAAAGTCTCTGAGACTAATCTCTAAGCTTCTGCTGTGGCTCAAAATGGTAGAGTGCCATACTGAGCATAAATAGCACCCAAGCCCTGAGTTCAAGCCCCACAATCAACAACAACAACAAAAAGACTCAATGGAAGGTCTTCATCTCATCCTAGGAATACTTATAGCTACCAGAAACTAAGCCGGTCCTATATGTACCTAGCAGCTTCCCAGTTAGCTTGTTTCCATGTTATCATTTAAGAACATAGTCTTAGGTGGCTTTATGTCTATTCCTTGTGTTCTTTTTTGTTGTTGTTGTTTTATTTTTTTGGTCCAGTTGTGGGGCCTGAACTCTGGGCCTGGCCGCTGTCCCTCAGCTCTTCAGCTCAAGGCTAGCGCTAAACCACTTGAGCCACAGCGCCACTTCTGGCTTTTTTCTTTTTGCTTTTGTGGTGGTGAGGAATCGAACCCAGGGCCTCATGCATGCAAGGCAAGCGCTCTACCACTGAGCCACCTTCCCAGCCCTTGTGTTCTTTTTTCCTGAGTATCCTCACTAGTCAAAGATTAATAAAACTAGAGACCTTCTGTTCTCAGACAAATTGTTCACCTAGGGGAATTGAACCTTATTTAACATCTAAAGAAAGGGAAGGTGATAGAATGCAGACCTATACATTCTTGAATGGCTGATTCAATCCCTTGCTTGCTCTAGTGGTTTTCAGCCTTAATTTCAGCCTTGCATTTCTGTTTCTGTTGGTTTGTTTTTGTTTTGTCAGGCATGGGTTTGAACTTAGTGCTTGGTCCCTGAGCTCTTTCCCTCAAGGCTAGAGCTATACCACTTTGAGCCACAGCACCATTTCTGGTTTTCTGGTGGTTAATTGGAGATTCTTACAGACTTTCTTGCCCAGGCTGGCTCTGAGCCCAGATCTTCAAATCTCAGACTCCAGAGTAGCGTAGAGGTATGAGCCTCGGGAATTTTGCTCAGTGGGCGGATCTTGTTTTAAGGCTATCCTGGGCCAAAAAGCAAGACCCTATCTCATCCAACGATCTCAAATAATAATTAATTTAAAAGAATGAACTTAAAAAGATTTTTTAAATCACATAAATGTATTACTCTGATAATAATAAAAAAAAACATTAATTTCACCTGTGTGCATATGACAGATGAGGTAACCAGGATCTAGAGGGATCATTTACTCGGAACCAAACAGCTTTGCGACGGGGTAGAAGACCAATGAAGATTTTGATACTACAAGCAAAAGAAGCTCCAGGATGCCCAAATCAAACCATTTTGTTGGTTTTCTTAGAAATGAATAACTTTAATACATTGGTGTTACAGGAGAGTTTTAATAACACTCCCCATAAAAGAGTTCGTGGTTGCTAGCTATGGAAAATGTCTTGGGTTTTCTTGAGCTGAAAAACAATTTATTGGAAAATTTGCAGAGGTGATTTTTTTTTTAAAGGCTAGAAAATTGGTCTTCAGAGATGAGCCAGACTAGAGCAGCTGGCGTTAGAGAAAAATTTGGAGTCATACTAGGGATGGAAAAATCTTTAACTGTCTATTCTTTGGGTTCTAGATTTATGCAGATTTGGGCTGGATATTATATTGGCTGGAACTGGGCCACATGTCTCTGTTAATGAATGTTTAGTGGCTGAATAGCTCTGATCCCTTCCTTCCTTCCTTCCTTCCTTCCTTCCTTCCTTCCTTCCTTCCTTCCTTCCCTTCCTCCCTCCTTCCCATTTTCCCATTCCTCCCTCCTTTCCTCCCCCCTAGCTCAACAAAGTATGTTAAAGAGTACGTGTTTGTCATTGTGATGAAGTCCAATATATTTATTTGTAATTTTATGGGCTGTACGTTTTTTGGTCCTAGGATTGAACTCAAGGTGGCTTGAGCGTGCTAAGCATACTGATAAGGCTAAGGCTTTGGTGATTTGTGTAATTACATAGCTGTTCTAGTCTCTTGTTCTCTATGGAGTTTCTCATGGATTCTTTGTAGAGTGAGTCTGGGTTTTAGACGTTGTCTGCTGGTTTTCCCTCATTTAACACATAAAATACAGTAGTTCTTTCCTCTGCCTGAGTGAACATACACAGGAGGCTTTATTTTCTAGGAGAAGCTTGTCCTCCTTTTTTGTGTGGCCCTAACTTCCCCACGCACTGGTCTAGTCCTTCCTGCAGCCAGCAAAGCTACTACCCCTTCATCTTAAACAGATATCCCAGCTGCTCCTTCACATATAGTAGTGATAATTTCTCTAGATGGATTATGCAAATAAGCAGGGTTTTTTTGGTCAGTCATGGGGCTTGAACTCGGCCTGGATGCTTTCCCTGCACTCTTCAGCTCAAGATTCTACTGCTTGAGCCACATTACTACTTCTGGTTTTCTAGTGGTTTATTGGAGTTACTAGCCTCACAGAGTTTCCTGACCAGGCTGGCTTTGAACCATGATCCTCAGATCTCATCCTCCTGAGTAGCTAGGATTACAGGCATGAGCCGCCAGTGCCTGGCTGTGCAGGGTTTTGTTTTGTTTTGCCGTCTTGGGGCCTGAACTCTGGGCCTGGGCACTGTTCCTCAGGTCTTCAGCTCAAGGCTAGTGCTCTACCACTTGAGCCACAGCACCACTTGCAGCTTTTTCTGCTTATGTGGTGCTGAGGAATCGAACACAGGGCCTCATGCATGCAAGGCAAGCGCTCTACCACTGAGCTACCTTCCCAGGCCTGCAGTTATTTTTTTATAATACTTTTCCACCAACAGATGGCACTAATATTTTAATAATTTCCTAGTAGAAGGTTTGTGTGGTATTTAAATTATTTGTATTTAAAAATAGTTGTAACATAAATGATTTTAAAAATATCTAAGGGAAAAAAACAGCCAGCATTTCTAATCAGGCCTTTATATAGTACGTTGTCTTCCTTTTGGATGTCTGGCTCATAGCTGTAAACATTCTCTTCTCAGCGTAAATAGAAAATACATTGGTTAAAATAGGAAAAGGATGGCATTCATATTCATTTCTTGGACTGAAATATTGGAATTCAATTTGAACAGATTTCCTTAGCATTTGATGATGATGATGATGATGATGATGATTGTATTTAGCCTCAGATTGAGATGAAACAGGCATGCAGTGTCATACAGGCATGAGAGTACTGTAATCATTTCCCATCTGGAGAATGGTTTTATCAGCTAAGCATGTGGAATAAAAAGGCTGTGAGGTCTGGGGACAGTGGCTCAAGACTGTAATGCTAGCCAGTCAGAAGATGGAGATCAGAGGATCACAATTTGAAGCCAACCCAGACAGGAAAGTTGTATGAGACTTTTATGTCCAATGGGTCACCAAAAAAGACAGAAGTGGAGTTGTGGCTCAAGCAGCAGAGCACTGGCCTTGAGCAAAGAAAGCTCAGGGACAGCACGTAGGCCCTGAGTTCAAGCCCCAGGATCAGCACAAAAAATAAGACAAAAACTATTAAAGGTTGTGGAAGGCAGAGGATCATTCGCTCAGTCAATACTCAGTGAATATCCTTCTTTACCAGACTTCTTGGTACAGAGAATGCAACAATGAACAAGGCAGGCAAGACTCTTGCAGGGATGGCCACTTTGAGAAAGCAGCATTGGAGCTGAGTCTATTGTGAAGATGTCTGGGGTGCAAGGATCAATAGGAGAGCTTCCCCGACACAAGGCACATAGGAGTGCTGGAACTGGCTTGCCATGTATGCTTCAGGGAAGGATGAAGGCCTGTTGGCTGAAGGGTTGTAGGAGTCAGGAGTATAGCAAGACCACAGGTCCATTGGGGATTTGTAAGCCCTGGGAACAATCTGCACCGGTGGCTTCACTGCTGAATGGGTAGGATGGGGACTAGCTCGCTACTTATCACATCTGCCCTATGAGATCCATACAGTTTTTAGATGAAGGCGCTGAGGCTTGGGAGACACTGTAACTAGGACGGCCAGTGATTTGCCGAAGGGTGGAGTATTTTCTTGTTCTCCAAGTAAAAAGCACCCACTGCACTAGCATTGGAGATTCAGAGCCAGAACAACAGAAGAGCAGCCGGTGTCTTTCTGAAACACCACCGAGAGCAAGAGTAAGGCTGACGTGCATAAACGAGAAAGCTGAAGCTGTGTGTCTGAGGATTTCATGGATCTTATAACTAAACCTCCCAGTTCAGTCAAGTAGATGAGAGCTAGGAAGGGAAATTAGTGACCTTTTAATCTTTGGGAGCCAGTGTGCTCCCAGGAACACCTCTGCCTGCAAAGGAGTGCATAACTCCTTGTGCAGTGTCTTCCACAAGCAGTGTACTGAAGTCTCCACTAGTCATCAGTAACACTCATTTTGAGTGGGATTCAAAACTCTATTACTTAACTTCCTTCCCTCGTGAGGTACTGACATTAAATACTAGTCTGCAATTGACTCAGCATTGCTCACAGGAATGTGCGTCACTAAAACATGTGCTAAAGTAGTGCCTGCCTGGGCTGTTGAGATGAGTCTGGCAACCTTCACCAACCATGTGCCTGCAGGGCCTGGGAAAGCCCGGATCCCGACTGATGCATCTGATAATACCAGAACACTATAATTTATTACTCGAGATGCGATCATTGTGATGGCAGCTATGTATTTTAATAGTAATTATTGCCTTTGAAAGATACCTATTGAAGTTTTAAGCAGATAAAATAGGATAGTTGAGGTTTCCTTCAAGATTACCTGGCTCTGCAAGGCACCTAGCTACTCAGAAGGCTGAGATTTGAGAATTGTGGTTCGAAGCCAGCCAGGAAAGGAAAATCCGTGAGACTTTTATCTCAAGGTAGCCAGAAGTGAAGCTGTGGCACAAAAGTTCAAGGACAATGCCCAGGTTCAGGCCCTAAATTCAAGCCCCAGGACCAGAACTTAAAAAAACAATTACCTAGTTTGGCATGAAGGCATTCGTGAAGGATATGATAGGAAACGAGGTTTGACGATAAGTTTGTTCTTCTGTACACTAAGTGATAGTTATATACGATAAGTTTGTTCTTCTGTACACTAAGTGATAGTTATATACGATAAGTTTGT